GTTGCTTGGTAGTAGTCAGCTGGTTTATGGGATAGATGGTCTAATCTGTAGGTTTCAAGGTCATTCCTGATGATTTGGCAGGGATGGCTGGAAAGCTCAGCTCAGCTGGACCCTCTCCCTATCCATATAGTGCACTCAGGGTCTCTCCACAGGATCTCTCCAGCAAGCAGTCAAACTTATATGATGGCTCATGCCACCAAGGAGTGTTCCAAAAGACAGAAGGTGGCAGCAGTAAGTTTCTTAAGGCCTGGGCCTGGAAACTTGCACAATGTTACTTTTGCCATGTTCTTTTGGTCAAAGGAGTCACAGAGCCTGTATACATTCAAAGGGAAGGGACATAGAACCCCACCTCTTGATGGAAGGAGAGTAAAAGAATGCGTGGCCATTTTCAATTCTCACAGGAGCTGACAGAAAGGAGATATATTTAGATGTATGAAATCTCTAAAAGTTACAAGGGATAATAGGATTTATAGCAAGAACATACAAGAAACTCTGTGAATCAATAAGAAAAGGACAACAACTCCAATTTTTTAAAGAAAAGACTAAGCATAGGAAATTTATATAAGTAGAAACCAAAAAGCCAACCTGCATATAAAGGACTGCTAAAAATAATTGGTAATCAGTGAAATGGAAGTCAAAGTAACAACAAATTATCTCTTTACAACAGGGTTTCTCAATATTGGTATTACTGATATTTTGAGCCAGACAATTATTTGTTGTGGGACTCTTTTGTACATTGTAGGACGCAGGCAGCATTACTGGCCTCTACCCACTGGATGCTAGGAGACATCCCAGCTGTAAAAATAAAAAATATCTTTAGACATTGCTAATTATCACTTGGGGATAAAACTGTTCCTGATTGAGAATCACTGCCTTATGCTTATGAGCCTGGAAAAAATAGAAAGCTGGTTAACGTCAAGTGTTAGCAGAGATACGGTATGGCAGGAAGTCTCAGGCGCTGCTGAAGGGTGTGTGAGTGGCACAGCAGTTTTTGAAAGCAATAGTCAAATTAAACACACACATACTTCATGACCCAGCAATTCAGCATATGGGTAATTTACACCTGTCCATAAAAGGACAAGCATAGCCGGGCTTGGTGGCTCAGTCTGTAATCCCGTGCTTTGGGAGGCTGAGGTAAGCGGATTGCCTGAGCCCACGGGTTCGAGACCCGCCTAGGCAACTTGGGGAGACCTCGTCTCTACAATAAGTAAAAAAAAATTAGCCAGGCATAGTGGTGCACGCTTATAGTTCCAGCTACTTGGAAGGCTGAGATGGAACCACTGCCTTGAGCTGAGCAGGTCAAGGCTGCGGTAGCCATAAGTGTGCCACTGCACTCCAGCCTGGATGACAGAGGCTCTGACTCAAAACAAACAAACAAACAATGTGACTACAATGAGATACCACTTTACATCTACTAAGGTGGTTATTATAGGATAAAAACAACCAGAAAATAAGAAGTGTCGGTGAGAAATTGGGAGCCTTGTGTATTGCGTATTGCTGGTAGGAATGTAAAATGGTACAGACACTGTGGAAAAGTTCAGCATTTCCAAACTGTTAAACACAGAATTATCATATGATCCAGCAATTCCACTTCTAAGTATATGCCTTAAATAACTGAAAGCAGAGACACAAAAACAGATACTCATATACCAATGTCCAAAACAGCATTATTCACAAGTCAAAAGGTGAAAACAACCCAAGTTGTCCACTAACACGTAAACAGACAAGTAGTATATATATGCAATGAAATGTTATTCAAAAAAAATTTTTTTTTGAGTCGTAGTCTCATTCTGTCGCCCAGGCTGGAGTGCAGTGGCATGCTCATGGCCACTGCAGCCTTGACCTGCTGAGCTCAGGTGACCTTCCACCTTAGCTTTCCAAGTGGCTGGAACTACAGGCATGTGCCATCATGCCCAGCTAATTTTCTGATTTATTGTAGAGACAAGGTCTCACCAAGTTACCCAGGATGGTCTCGAATTCCTGAGCTCAGACAATCCTCTTGCCTCAGTCTCCCAAAGTGCTGGGATTACAGGCATGAGTCACAATGGCTGGCTCATTATTCAATTAAAAAAAATATAGCATAACATAAATGAACCTTGAAAATGCTGTGCTGGGTGAAATAAGCCAGACACAAAAGGACAAATATATGATTATGCTTAAATGATGTACCTGGAAGAGGTAAATTCATAGAGACATAAAGTAGAATAGAAGTCAACCAAGGGCTAAGGTGGTGGAGTGGGGGAATGAGGAATTACTGTCTAAAAGGTACAGAGTTTCAATTTGGGATAATGAGAAAGTTCTGGAATGAATAGTGGTGATGGTTGCATAACATGTGACACTACAGAACAATGTGAAAAAAAAATGTATATATATATATATTTTTTTGTTAGAGTCTCACTCTGTCACCCAGACTGGAGTGTAGTGGCTGCTCCCGGCCACCGCAGCCTCGCCTGCTGGGCTCCGGTGATCCTTCCAGCCTTCCAAGTAGTTGGAATTACAGGCAGGCGCTACCACACCTGGCTGATTTTTCGATTTATTGTAGAGATGAGGTCTCGCTGCCGAGGCGGGTCTCGAAGCCACGGGCTCAGGCAATTCACTCACCTCAGCCTCCCAAAGGTGCGGGATTACAGGCTGAGCCACCGAACCCGGCTGTGAATATATTTAATGCCACTAAATTATACACTTAAAAATGGTAAATGGTAGGGTTAGGATTAGGGTAAAAAAAAAAAAAACCCTAATGTGCTAGAAACAGAGAGTATAGCATAAGACATATAACATATACATTTAATATATGTATCTATAAAACAATACTCATATTGCAAGGACACACAAATAAACTGTTAGAATTAATGACAGAATAGCTCAAATTTTAAAACTGACCTAACAATGTAATGCAGTTTCAATCAATATTTTAATAGTATCTCTTTGTGGAACAAGTTGATCCTAAACTTTATATGAAAATGCAATAGGTCAGAAATAGCTGGCCAGGTGCGGTGGCTCGCCTGTAATCCCAACATTTTGGGAGGCCGAGGTGAGAGGATTGCCTGAGACCAGGGGTTCGAGACCAGTCTGGGCAACTTGGTGAGACCTCATCTCTACAATAAATCACAAAAAAACTAGCCGGGTGTGGTGGCATGCATCTGTAGTTCCAGCTACTTGGAAGGCTGAGGTGGAAGGTTCGCTTGAGCCCGGCAGGTCAAAGCTGTGGTGGCCGTGAGCGTGCCATTACACTCCTCCAGCCTGGGCAACAAGAGTGAGACTTCAATTCGAAAAAAAAAAAAATAGCTAAGACACTCTTGAAGAAAACAAGATGAAAATATTTCATCTAGGTACTAAGATATAAAATAATAATAATATAACACAAGTATATTAAGATAGGGTAATTAAGGCATTGTAAATAACTAGGATAACACCAGGAATGATAATTAGGCTAATGGGATATAAATAGAGAGCATAGAAACAGACTTACATGTACACAGACAGTTGATTTGCAATAAAAATAGCATTGTAGAGCAGTGGAAAAATTGTGGTCTTTTCAATAATTGATGGAACAACTTGATAATCATTTACAAAAAAATGAAGCTTAGTCATGACTTAATATCATACACAACATAAATTTCAGATTTTTATCTGGAACATAAAATAATGAAAGTTTAAGGGGTAATATATGGGAGATATTTTTGTTTCCTTGTTTAAGAAGACAGTGTAATATATGGACCCTATTTCCCAATAATATGAGGGAGACACTGCCCATATACTGTTCTTAAATAGCAGACAAAAAAAAAAAAAGGAAATAATGGTAAGTCTAATTATATTAAGACTGTTTCCTCCCTACATTCACCAATCCCAAACTATTCACAACCCTTTTCAGTCCCTAGCAGTTCCCTGCTTTGAAAGATCCATCTTAAACCAGTGGAGCCCTTGTCCCAAATCCCTATAAATACCCTACTCTAATATTCCCCTTTTGTATCATTACCAAGACTATCAAGCTAATGTTCTTCCGTGCTACAATAGGTTTAATAAACTTTGTTTAATCAATAGGTTTCCTTAGTGACCTTCTGGGGGAGTAGACAATTGACAGTTATTATCTTTTTTGAGAACTATACTAAGATCTTTTAAAATTTTTTTGTAGAGATGGAGTTTTACTATGCTGCCCAGGCTGATCTTGAATTTCTGGCTTCAAGTGATACTCTCACCTTGGCTTCCCAAAGTGTTGGGATTACAGGCATGAGTCACTGCACCTGGCTAGTATACTGAGCTCTTTATAGATGAAGCTATATTGTTAAGATTTGCTCCAAAAATAATTCAGTAAAATAGAGAAAGCAGATTAGTCATAAATTGTTGATGTTGGAGAATGGTGCATGGGAGTTCATTAGACTATTCTACTTTTATTTATATTTTAAATTCTCTATAATATTTTTTTAAAGTTATTTTTCTTTTTTTAGTCCCTAAGAAGGCATGTTCATTAAAGTCACAGACAACTTACCCTATATGTGATTACCTGGCTTATATCCAGAAAGTATCTAGCCAAACACAGCCTAAATTATGCTACATGTTGCAGTTTTGCCACTGAAAGAAAGAAGGGAAGCCGGGCTCGGTGGCTTAGCCTGTAATCCCGCGGCTTTGGGATGCTGAGGTGAGTGGATTGCCTGAGCTTGCAGGTTCGAGACCCGCCTGGGCAGTGAGACCTCATCTCTACAATAAATCAAAAAATCAGCCGGGCGTGGTAGCGCATGCCTGTAATTCTGGCTACTCGGAAGGCTGAGGCGGAAGGATCGCTGGAGCCCAGCAGGCAAGGCTGCGATGGGCGACCGAGTGAGACTCCAACTCAAAAAAAAAAAAAAGAAGGGAAGAGCAGCGTGGCAATAGATCTGAGAGAACTAATTTTTTAAAGGCCTTCAACAACATCCCTCATGTAGAACTAAGAGTAGATATAATTAACTTAAATTTGGCATTTAAATCTTGCTTAAAACAAAAAAAGGGGAATAAAGAATATTCTGTTTTTGCTTTATTTATTCAGAGAGTGAAATTGTTACAGTGAACTTTTCATTGTGCTTGGAACACGCTCTGGCCTACATTCTACTCTGGAAAAATGAAGTTTCTTATTATTTCTTATAATCCTTGACCTTGAAATTGGTCAATCTTAGGATCCCAAACACACACTGATGAATGCCCGATTTGAGGCTTTGAATAGCTACTCATGTAAGTTGACTTTTCTGTGCATTTATATCGAGGAGGATCTAGTTCGGGTTGATGTCCTGGAAACCAATGAGGCTCTCGCTTAAATCCTGAGGGAAGAAAAAAGAGAAGGAGAGGTAAATGGAAACTGTTAACAACATGGAGATTTTAAAAAATCTTACTCTTATTTCTGAGTGAACAGTGAGTCCTGTCAAACTTGAGAAAATGGAAAAATTGTTCACTCATTCACCTATTCACACAACCAGTTTACTTTTTTTTTTTGAGTTGGAGTCTCACTCCATCACCCAGGCTGGAGTGCAGTGGCACATTCATGGCCATCCTAGCATCAACCTGTGGGCTCAGGCGATCCTTCCACCTCAGCCTTTTAAGCAGCCAGAACTACAGGCGTGTGCTATCACACCCAGCTAATTTTTTACTTATTGTAGGGACGAGGTCTCGCCAAGTTTCCTGGGCTAGTCGTGAACCCACGGGCTCAGGCAATCCACTTGCCTCAGCCTCCCAAAGTGCTGGGATTACAGGCTAAGCCACCGAGTCTAGCTGTTTACTTTTATTTGAATTCCTTCTATGTGCCAGGTACTGAGTTTCACAGGTTCTGAAAAAGAATGAAAAAGAATAGTCCACGTACTATGGGTTGAAAGTGGCATTTTGTTGTTATAGCTTGTACCGTATGTAGTTTCAAAGTAGTGTTCAAACTGGAAAAAAAAAATAGATTAAGAATCTAGAAGTCAATGTCAAAAAAATAAAGGACAATATGACATGGACTCTAATGGGCTCTGTCATAGCTTAGATGGATTAGAGGTCTCTATGTAGTTGGTCTATATCCTAACTTTCATACTTCTTGTATGTTTGTTTGTTTAGGAGAGATTTAAGGGCAAGACTCAGATAAATGTCAAGTCTAGGTGGGCAAAGACCAGGGTAGAAGCTAGCCTGAGTCAAAAGATCTACATTTCTGTAGATTGACTGATAAAGTCCAAACAGAAGCAAGAGTATTATCCATCCTTTTGATACCCCTCAGATAATATAATATTTAATTAATTTGAGAGTAAAGTGGGATATGTGGTCTAGCTGAGGACTGTTCCCTTGTCCCAACCACTTCACTGAATAGAAGCCTGAGAGATCACCACAATGGAAGCTATTAGACTCCTGCCTCTCCTTGGCCACTAGTATTTTTTTTTTGCTAACAAAAGGAAAAAAAGAAGACAAAGTTAGATTACCTGGGAAGGCAAGGGTTTGGGTTGCACGATATTCCTTAGGTCATATCTTTCTTGGTTCCAGTTGCCCATAAGAGTACAGTTCGAATAGGAATTCTCATTAGTGGTGCATCTCCACCCATACTGGAAAAACTTGGACATATCATTCCAATCTGTCCACACCTCGCCATGGCCATCTGCATTAATGAGGCTCCCACAGTGTGGATTTGTGAGGAAATAGATGAGATTTTGTCTCTGGGAAGAGACCAGAATAGAAAAGTTTACTGCACAAACCAGAGAACCAAAAGGCAGCCCCTCCTACCCTTTGCTTTACGCAGTCAGTTATAACACAAGTCTACTAATGATCTAGGATTTTCTCCAGAATTAACTGTTGTAGTTCCATTTCTTTCTCTCCAGGTCCATGTACATCATCTATCTCCTCAATCAGCAGCAGTGGATAACTATACAGAAAAAATGTCCCCACTCCGAAAAGACAAGAAAACCTTCAGTATCCCCAACACTATATGAATAAGTAGCTAAATGTTTAGGTAATGTTAGGTAATTTTGAGACATCGGAGTTTAGGGACTATTTCTATAGTTAAAGAGAACATGAAGAAATGAGAATTCAATAACTCAATAATACAATAAATAACCAACAAATAATCATTTTCTTCCTTCTAGGCCCAGCTCCAGTGGTGCCTTCTCTCTCCTTTTATCTCACACATAACTTTATCTTCATATATTTCACTGCATCTATAACTTTCTACCACACATTAGAGTTCTTCAAGTCTATGTCCTATGTCCTCTACTGAATTGTATGCCCCTTGAGAACAGGATCTCTTTAAATTCATTATTGTATCCTATCCATCTGCCTGCCCTCCCAATCAATAGTGGTTTGTATATACCAGATGATCAATGTCTGATTTCATTGTTGTCGGTAAGGAATCAAAGAACCAATGATTTTTTGTTGTTGTTATTGGTCAAAAGATGAGCCCCAGTCAGGCTCAGTGGCTCAGCCTGTAATCCCAGCGCTCTGGGAGGCTGAGGTGAGTGGATTGCCTGAGCCTGTGGGTTTGAGACCTGCCTGGGCAACTTGGTGAGACCTCATCTCTACAATAAATAAAAAAATTAGCCGGGTGTGGTGGCACGTGTCTGTAGCTCCAGCTACTTGGAAGGCTGAGGCTGAAGGATCCCCGGAGCCCAGCAGGTCAAGGCTGCAGTGGCTGGGAGCAGCCACTGCACTCCAGTCTGGGCGACAGAGTGAGACTCCAACTCAAAAAAAAAAAAAAAAAAAAGATGAGTCTGGTCCCCAGGCTTAGGAGTAAGGTGATACCTTCCCAGAAGAAGAATAACTTGATGTTGTATAGGTTGGGTTGTCTGAAGATTTCATAGGAAAGTGACAGAAATCCTTCCTTAGCTGTTCCATGTTCTGTAAAAGAGATGTCACCAAACCTGGCCTTCCCAGTTCTCCGAGCAAAGAAAGCATTGTAAATCATCCAGATTACCATGTCTAAGTGGCCATGATTTGGGAGTCACCACTCATCTGCCTTTCCACAGGCAGAGACAAAGTTAATAATGTAGCATTAGAGGATGGCATCTCAGGTAACTGTCCTCACATCATCTGCCTTTGTGAAGACAGGTGCAAGCACTGATGTCACCAAACAGCCTGATGACTAGAGTAGCTGGTCCCACAAAGTCCAAAAGGTCTAGTACTCAGACTGAAGACCTAAGTGCCACTGTCTCTATGGTTGGAACGACAGACATCACCATCCCACCTGGTTGTCCACACCTGAAACCTGGGGTTTATCTTTAACTTGGACTTCTCTTTCAACATTCATCCAGTCACTAGGTTGTGTTGATTTCTGAATCAGTCTACTAACCTCCAACCCCACTGCCAAGTTCCAATTCAGATCACTCTCAGCCTTGTCTCCTATCTTATCTCCTTGACATCAGCCTTGTTCCTCTCCAATCATTTCTCCATAAGAAATTATAACTTTTGAAAATGAAAGTCTCATTGTGTCATTTTCCTATTTAAAAACGTTCAGTGGTTTTCCACTGTTCTCAGAATAAGGTTTAGCCTGTTACGTTGGCTTATAACACTCCCTAAGACCTGGCCCCTGCTTAATCTTCAGTCTCATCTGTTACACACTCTCACTAGAACTATGTTTCAGCCAGATTCAACTATTCTTTTTCTCCACTGAAAGGCCAAGATGGAGTCAATATAGCCAAAGAGCAGCCATTTTAACACTGCCTAGTTCTGTCATGTTTTTCTAGAAGTTCACTTTAATTTACCCTCTAGTCACTAGCCAAGGACAAAGCTGGTTTCTCAGCAGTAGCTATTGATAACTTACAACCCCTACCCAGTTTTTTTGTACTAATTAGCTTTTCTATTCCAAGTATTTGCATAAGAAACAACCTAATTAGCGCAGCCATGACCTTTGACACAGACCCCATCAACATGGCAAAAGTCATGTAACTAGCCCACCCATCTGCCTGCCTTCCATCACCTGACTTCAGTATCTGTGCTTCCTTGCTCCTTCGTGATGACCTGAAACAGACCATCACCCAATCACCTTAACGACCTAACCCCACCAAAGAGAAGGTTTAAAAGGCATTCAACTTCAAAAAGCAGGGGCTGTGGCTTTGCTTAACTGATCTGGCCATGTGGCTCTTTGAGCTATGATTGCCATGTTTTCTTTCTTAGCTTTGGCTCCCTCCCCTGCCTTGAGGAGGTGAATCTCCTCTCTCATTTACTTTTTAAATAAACTATTTTCCAATGTAATGTCTGTGCAATTCTTTGCATCTTCTGTGGGGCACCGGATCGCAGACCCTCCTATGGTCTGACCTAACATCCAACATGATTTTGTATATATTGGTTCTTCTGCCTCTTCACTTCTCTTGACCCAAGTAAGGTGTACTTTTCCCCCCTTACTTTCAACTGAAACCCACCGCCTCCAGGGACTCTCTCCACTTCGCCACCAAACTATGTGAGGCTCCCCTTCTGAGCCTTACACGACTAACACACGAACCACCCCACTAATAGCACATACCCCCACCATATCACGGTTGCCTCTTTTGTGTGTGCAGTCCCCACCAGATTACAGGCTCTCGTGACATCACAGGCCACATCTTATTCATCCTAACCACCCTCACAGTAGCCTGGCACATAAGTGGTACTCAATATTTCTCGAATGACTACAAGGTAGGAGAGTGAAGCACCTGGCGACATTTTGAGCAGCGGAGCCACTGGGGGGCAGCCATTTCGCATGAGTGGAAGGCAGTAACAAAAACCTTCCGTGTTGGGAACACGTACAACAGTCCAGGCTCTTCTGGGCCTCAGCTCCGCCCCTTTCCTTTCACTCAGAACTCGCCTCCCCGCTCTGCGCTAGTGACTGCTTGTGACCTCATGCCGGTGTGACGGGGTCCCTCAGGGCCATACTCGGCTTAAAAGGCACTTTGATCTTCCCGAGGGGGTGGGAGGGTGAGGGGACGGAGAGCGGGTGTCTCCCTTTTGCACTCATGGTTACAGTCCTCCCTGAGAGTCACAGCACCAGTTGGTCCAGACATCCTGTCGCTGTGCGTGCGTCATCAAACAGTGACGGGGAAGAGAAGGCGGGCAGAGACCCGCGAAGGAAGTGACGTAAGAAACGAGAGCCACGGGGAACGCGAGCGCGGAGCTCGCGGAGGCCATGGCTCCTCTGCGCCTCCTTTTGGTTGGGGAGGGGAATTTCTCCTTCGCCGCCGCTCTGAGCGAGACTCTGGATCCAGGCACCTGTCTCACCGCCACCTGCCTCCGGCGCCCGGCCGACTTGGCCCGGGATCCGGTAACCCGGGAGAACCTGCAGCGCCTGCGCGAGCGAGGTAGCGGGGCCGGCCCCTCCGTGAAGCCCCGCCCAGCTGCCGGCGTGTCCCAAAGTGGAGAGGGTGGGGGCGTGGACCTCTAATCCACGTGGGAATTACGCCTGATCGTCCCAGGGATCTTCACCAGAAGCCTGCTGTGTTCCTAGACTTGGGCCGGTTTGCATGGTTCGGGTTAGGAAAAGTTTTGTTGTTGGTTTCATGTCTTAAGACATCCAACCTCCTGTCTATATTTCCCGCTTCCAAACTATCGTTGCCAGGTGCCGAGGTCCGTTTCGGTGTGGACTGCACCCAGCTGGCAAATGCCTTCGAACTGCACGACAGGACTTTTGATCGCATTTATTTCAACTTTCCGCACTGTGGACGCAAAGCTGGAGTAGCTAGGAACAGAGAACTGCTTGCCAAGTTTTTCCAGAGGTGAGGAAAGACGAGTCCTCACAAGTAAAATAAAGTTTAGGATGTCTATAACATAGTTAACTGAACTTAAACATTATAGTTGGGGAAATAAGGCAGACGTATGACCGTTACTGTGGTATGTTTAGAAGAGAATATAAAGCCCCAAAGGAACCCACAGTCTAGTTGGAAAGACAGGTATATAACCCTCAATGCTAACTAAAAGCACAAATAATGTGCTCTTGAGTGTGTAAAGGGAGGATAATTTCTTTTTGATAATGCAAAAATGATGAGAGCCAGTATAGTCTGATGACTAAGAGCATGGACTTGGGAGCCACACTGTCTGGTTTCAAATCCTGGCTCACTACTTAACAGTTGTTAGGTTTTAGGCAAACTTAATCTTTATGTGCTTCTGTTTCCTCATTTGTAAACTGAGGATATTAACAACTAACTGCCTCGTTGAAATTATTGTGAACTTAAAACAGTACCCTACATTATTATACTAAAATACATGAGATGTCACGTGGCTCATAACTGTCAAGAAAGTTCACAAAGGCAGTATTTTAAGCTAACATTTGAAGTATAGAATTTGAATTGGCAGGAATGCAGTGAAAATAACTTTCCGAATGGGGAGAAACAGCCTAAACGGTGAATTGTGTATAAACTTTGCAGACATTGAGCTTTCTGTGACATATAGATGAACACAGATGCAAGGCAGACCCTGATCAGTCGCTAGTGTCAGTGGGTTGAACATTTAATTTGCATTCTTATTTACTTCCAGTTACTTTCTTTGCAATGTTGAGGTCTAATAGATCTTCACTATAGGTATGATTGGATTTCGTTATTTCACAGCTAGGTAAATATTCGTTATTTTTAAACTAGGTAAATATTGCTAACTCCTGCAGCAATTTCTACTTGTTTTTAATAAGTAGCTGGTATTTTTGTTCCCCTATTAGCTGTGCAGATGTTCTTGCAAAGGAAGGAGAAGTTCATGTGGCATTGTGTAGAGGACAAGGTGGTACTCCTGCTGATAAACCCCAAAGAGAATGGCACAACAGTTGGCAAGTGGTTGCCATGGCAGCTCTGGGGGGGCTCATTTTAAGTGATGTGCATCTCTTCTGCTGTGAGGCTGTGCCTGGGTACAAATGCACTGGGTATAGGTAAGTAATAACAGAGACCTAAGCCTTTTCCTTTTTAGTCTTTCTCACTACTGATAAAAAAGATTTTAAAAAACTTATAGATAGACTCGTAGGCCCTGCCAATTAATTACTGATTCAGTTTCTAGAAATATTTGCTTTCTTTAATAATTAAACACTTCATATTGGTGTCTGTTTTGCCAGGAGTCAAGATAAGTCCTTTCATGTGGAAGGTGCTTTGAACCATATCTTCACCCAGAGCTTACCCCTTGAAGGTTCTCAACCTAGAATCTTCAGGATCAAATTGGGTGACAAGTGGTTTTCCTTTCCAGAACCAGAAGCACTTGTAGGGAAGTTGAACAGGTAACCTGTTTTTTTGCCTGAAATCACTTCTATTTTCAGCTGTATCCTGATTGTCTTGATGGCAACCATATATTGAATGAATGGTACATAAGTTGGTAGTGATGTTGATGCTGTAATTACTTATCAGTTTGGCCTCCTCAAACCTCTTTAGAATTAAAAATTGTCAATTTTTGAGATATTGTAGGGATGGTGGCTGCCAGAGAAATACACATAATATTTCTCCTTGTGGTGGATGATTTGTTTCTTTTCAAGATCAACTTAAGGATAATTCTTTTCTATCTAGTTATTTGTATTTTAAATTCTAGCTACATTATAATTATTTTAAGTTAGAAACTTTTTGTGTTTGTTTACACAGAGGTTTCTTGGAAGCACCTTCATGTCATCCTGTCAAAACCATAAATGAGAAACTCATTGCTGAATTGAGCAAAGCTTTCCCTCTAAAAATGCTGAAATATTCTTCCCCTTTGCTGCCACAGGAAGGCACCAGTGTTCTGCCTTTCTGGAACTGTGACATTCTATCGTCTGCCTTTTGGATTAGTCTCCGTGAAGATAACTCGAATTCTGAATCCTTGACTGGTGGAACAAAACAAGATATGGAGAGCTTTCTAGTGTCATTTTCAGAGCTTAGCCTTCCCAAACGTCCTGGAAAAGATGATAAGGAAGAAGCTCATGAAGGAATCTGTGGCCGGACCAAGGTCTACCTTAGACCTTCCCTCCTAGTTCATGTTCAGGCTATCATCCAGGCACCAGACTTCCTCTCAGATTCTCTGCACATCCTTAGTGGACCTGTCTTTCAAAAGTGCCACATTTTGCCTTTTACAATGCCAGCATTTCATGAAACTTTATTTATCCTTGGATTTAATCAAAATTTGAAGGATAACTGTCTTCAGTCACTGTTGGATCATATGAAGGGCATTCTAGATAGCCTTCTGACCCAAACATTGCCGGAGGGCTCTAAGCTGAGCAGACCAGTGGAATTTGTTCTTCAGCCAAATGGAAAAGATTATATGATTCGTGTGAAGGCTCATAATTTTGGCTCACATTGTGCCAAGGATTTAATTATTGGATCTGTCACCACATTTGGCATAAATATTATACATAAAGATCAATGTTTTGTGTTTGTGTCTATGAACTTGGACTTATTAGCCATGCTTATCTGGGATATCTCTGACTGGAGAATGTTATGGACCTTTGATAACCGTTTCCTGAAAAATTTTGTCCCTGGGAAAATAGAACTGTTTAAAAGTTATTCTCTGTATCCTCCATGCTATGTGCATGATATTAGTTTTTGGTTAGATGAGAAGAAAGGATTTGATGAACTTGAGTTTCATACTGTGGCCCGAGCAATATCCCAGGACACTGTTATATCCATACAATTTCTTAGTCGTTTTCAGCATCCAAAGACTGAACAGGTCAGTCTCTGCTATAGATTGACCTACCAGGCCTGTGACAAGGCCCTCACCCAGCAGCAGGTAGCATCAATGCAGTCCCAGTTTAGGAAGGAGATTCAACAACGACTACATGTTACACCTCGGTAGCTTAGTACATTCTTTTCTACAGTGTGATCCTTCATTGATGTGGGTGTGGATGAAATTGACCAACTTGCAACCAGTAGTTCTTTGGGGACTGTGTTGTTTTGGGAAATCTTTTACTTTGTGACCAGAGCCAGTATTGGTTGACCTAAAGACACCTTGATTATGTCATAAACTTTTAGAATATAGTGATTAGTGATGTTTGGAGTTGTGCAGTATTTTGGTTCTGAGTAATGACTAAGACAGTAAATAAAACAGCAGCCTATACTTTAAATGCTCTGTTGCTGAAGAGGTGACAGAACTTAGGTGCCTCATCACATATAAATATGTTTTTCATCTTCCCTTAACTGTACTGTATTGATTCCTTAAATCAAAATACAAGCATAGGTTTTGGAGTTAGACCAGCATTTCTTAGCTTGGTAAATTGCAACTACTCCATATTAGCACTGATATCATCATCATCATAATTTTTATACTGTGGTTGCTGCTGTTAAAGTCATGGAACTATTAAGTGTCAGATTTAGGATTAGCATTTGAGTCTGTCAGATTCTAAAGCCCGTGTTCTTTCTGCTACTTTATTTTTCCTTCCCTAATCTTCAACAGTAATCACTCAACTGTGATTAACCTTAAACTTTACCCCCTTAGATTTTTGGGCCTCTGTTATATCTGAGGGACACTGGAAAATTAGCTAAGCCCAGGGCTCTGCAGAATGGGTCACTCTAATGTGAATGAATGTATGCTTTTGTTAATAGTTAAGCTCCACCGTTTGGAATTATATTGTAAACTCTGGTATAGAAATAACTGTCCATTATTGGAGAAAAGCACATGGAAAGGCAAGAATGAAATTAAAGAGACAAATATAGAAGGTTATTGCAGTAATGCACATGAGATTATGACATGGACTAGGGTGGTAAGAAGTTGTCAGATTGGATAATATTTAGAAGGATTGCTAATGAATTAAATGGATATGTGTGGGTGATAGTGGTGTGGGGTTATAGAAATAAAGGAATCAAGCAGCACTTCTAGTTTTTTGACTTGAGTACCTGGAAGATTAGAAGTGTGATTAACTGGAGTGGGAAAACTGCCATAGGAGTAAGTTTGGAGAGTGGGATAATGAATCGAGGGATGTTATGGACACATCTATTGCTGAGCTCTCCACATAGATTATTTGCTAATTGAGGGTAAGTAATATGACATACCTTTTTCTGTCCTCAGTAGTGCCTAGGATGAGGTAGTGGTTGAGCTGGATCTTAAAACAAGGGTAAGAATATGACAGAATTGTTAGCCAAGAAGGGTGTGCATCTCAGGCAGAGGACATATATAAACATATATAGATAAGGGCGTATTGGGAGCAATTTTCAGGCTAGTTAGTTGAAATATGAAGTGTGTATGGGAAAGTAGTGGCAGATAGAAAGGTAGGTTGGGACTGGAGTTAGTTCATGAAAGACCAAATGCTAGAATAAGGAGTTTATTTGTAGGCAACAGGGGAAAAAAATGGTGATTTTTGATTAAGGAAGTAACAGAGTAGTGTTTTGGAAAATTAATTGGACAGTGTTACACATGATGGATTTGAGATGGGAGATCCCTGTAAAGATGACATTGTAGTAGTCCTAAGTAGAGAGGGACCTGCATTAGAGTTAAATGAAAAGGAAGAGATGGATATATGAGATAGCTAAGCTGGATATTTGAACTTGGTAATTAATAACTACATGTGGTAATTGAGCAATATGATCAATATCCATTTTCAATACTTTTTTTAAGAGAATTTTTAGAATGAAATCATAACTTTCTAGGACCTTGTCGAGGTTAGCGCTCCCTCTATAAACTTGTTCCAGTTACTTACTGGTATGGAGTTCCACAGGGTGGGAAAGAGCTCTATGATTAGGGGAGTGGACAGAGTGTCAGGGTCAGGATGAGATGAATGAAACCCACCCCCCCCAACCCCCATGGGTCAACTGCCAGTATAAAAATGCCTGTAGGAAAATCAGGAGCTTCCTGGGGTGAGGGGTTGGACAAGTGGAGAGCATGGGCTTTTGGGTAAGGCAGTTCTGGGCTGGAATATGGCTTCACCATTTACTAGTTCTGCAATCTTGGGTCTGTTTCCTTATCAATAAACAAAAGATTGTGCGTATTAAATTTAAAAAGGATAAGCGCTGCAAAATGTCTGCCACAGTGCTATAGCAGCAATGACAGTGATGGATGTCTGGTTGAATTTGCTGCACAGAATTTCGTTAGCGTTCATTCTGTTCGTCCCTCTGAAGCAGTTTTTAGCTACAGGTTGTCTCTGTCACGCTTACCAAAATACAGAGAAGGCATGGTGTTAAAACATTTTAAGGACTTTCCCTTTAGTAGGCAGCTGTACTACAATTCACTGAATACCTCTTCACAACTCACTCTGTAGACTTGTTTAATGACTTTCTATTTGTGCTTATTTATTTATTTTTATTTTTTGAACCGGACTCTTACTCTGTCATTCAGACTGGAGTGTAGTGGTAAACTGCTCACGTCCACCGCAGCCTAGACCTGCTGGGCTCAGGTGATCCTTCTTCCTCGGCCTTCCAAGTAGCTGGAACCACGGGCGCGCACCACCAGGCCCGGCTAATTTTTAAAAATTTTTATTGTAGAGACGAGGTCTCGCCATGTTGCCCAGGCTGGCCTCGAGCCCCTGAGCTCAGGTAATCCTCTCGCCTCCGCCTCCCAAAGCGCTGGGATTACAGGCGTGAGCCACCGCGCCCGGCTTGTGCTTTCTTTCATTTAAACAGAGGAGCTGAGGGACGATTCTTTTTCAGCTGAAAGAAGAGAGTTTGAAGGAAGGAGAGACGAATGCCCAGGGTCGGAAAAGAGGGGGAAGGGTTTGCCATCACGGGAAAAGGCAAGTCTCGGCTCCCGTGTCTCCGCCGCCTGGGGATTTGCCCCATTGGCCCGGGAAGACCATCATTCCGTCGTCTCTGCGCATGTCCAGGTCTTTTGTCCCTCGGCGGACGCCGTTCGCCAGCCAACGCTATGTCTCCGCGCTCGCCGACTTCCTAGGGTGCCGACTTCTCCCTTTCCGCCCCAGCGCGGCATGGCGAGCCGAGGGGCTC